AAAATAGCAACCACAGGCTTAGATGTAGCTCAATGGTACATTTTACTAGCAGGCAGGAAACTTGTTGACTTGATACTGAGTGCCAGTAAATAAATGAAGCAAAATCTATTCCAGTGTTTAATGGGGCTTAGGAGCTGCCTCTTGTTTTTCTGTGAGTGAGAAATGTCTTCATAAGACAGAGCTGACATTATTTTGAAATGTGAGAGAAGTCACCAGAATAGTATTATTTTGTTCTTAGTTCAATTCAAACTCACAGACTACATTACATTTCCTGCCATTTTCATTTCTAAAGTGATTTCTGGCATAGTAGAGCACTTTATTTAGTTTAAATTATATCATTCTATCAACTTTGGTTTCCTGGTGTTTGGCAGGTTTATTTTTCTTGTCTCTGAATGATAGAGGGGATCAAGCTTTTAAGTGAAAACTTTACCAAAAAGACCCCCAAATAAAACTGGAGGAGAGAACTATTATAAGAGATCTGTATATCACAATGTAGAAATACAGGAAACAGGGACAAGGCAGTAGGACAACTACCAAAGGGCACAACTCCTCACTGACCAAATCCTGGAATACTGAGATTCTCATACTGCTGACAAATGGTCTAATTGTTTAGTTTTAGAAATGGCCAGTGATCTCAAAGAGAATTCCAACATGCAGATGAAGGTCTAAAGTTATCAATTCAGATAAGAATGAGAAAGCCAACAACAGATGTGATGATAATAAAGATAAATAGCATGTGAACCAACCAGAATATCTAATAAAATCATAGTAAATGAATAAATAATTGTCAACAGATAAATATAAATGATTTTAACTACTCTCTAATATGAGACACAGGATAATTAATTAGCCTAAAAAATGAAAGGGCAGTGTGATAGTTTGAATGCTATTCACCCCTTAGAAGCTCTAGGGAATGGCACTATTGGGAAGTGTGGCATTGTTGGAGTAGGTTTGGCCTTGTTGCAGGAAATGAGTTAGTGTGGAGGCAGACTTTGATATCTCATATATGCTCAAGCTACACTAAGTTGTGTAGACACTTCCTGTTGCCTGTACATGCTACCTCTCCAGCATCATGTCTGCCTGAACACTGCTAGGTCCCATGATGATGAAAATGGACTGAACCTCTGAATCATAAGCCACCCAATAAAATGTTTTTTCCTTTATAAAACTTGCTGTGGTCAACAATGGAAAAATGAAAGCATTCAACAAATGGTGTTGGCTTAACTGGATGTTGAACTGTAGAGGAATGCAAATAGATCCTTATTCATCCCAATGGACAATACTCAAGTCCAATGAATCAAAGACCTCAACATAAATCCAGTGACATTGAACCTGATAGATGAGAAAGTGGGAATTAACCTTGAATGCATGGGCAAAGGAGATTACTTACTAAATATAATACCAGTGGCCCAGACAATGAGAGCCACAAGCAATAAT